GTTGTGCATTGAACGTTGTAAGTGAGGTGGGAAAATCACCCGCCCTACACTTGAAGAGCATTTTTAAAGTACGTGTGAAAAGTGATTAAGGCTCTAACATTTCAACGTCGTGTCGATGTGAGGCGTAGAGATCTTGGCCACCTCAATACCCAACGCTTCAATGGAGAAACTTTGGACAAGTTTCTCCATACATATATATATAATATATATATATATCATGATATATATATAATATACTATATATATTTATATATTTATATGTAATATAGTTATTTCCTGTCAGAGGGATGGGAACGCTGAGAGGATGTGTGTACTCTATTTATGGAGTGGGTTAGAGCAGTTACATGATGTGTGTACTCTATATATGGAGTGGGTTAGAGCAGTTACATGGTACCTCCTTTCTGTGTGGTTGGGCTTGCATGCCGGGCCCAGAGAAGCAAATGATGTGAATCCTGATTGTAAAAATGCAAGGTTTTCTCCACCACAGGTACTGAAACACAAGTTCCGTGACCAACCAGCCGTGTTCACATGGCCCAAAACTTTATTTGCACAGGAGGTTAGGCAGTTGGCTCACACAAATTTTAAGCTACTAGTAGATAATTATTCTCTTTCACGTGCTCTTCCTCCTTGGATTTTATCTCTTTCCTTCATATAACTATCGTGAACACGGTGCAAAGCACGGCATACGGTATATTATTTTTTCCTATGCTACAGTAATTCCGGTTTTAAATACTATCTTAATATTTTTAATTTTTTGTATTACTAGGGTATCCCGCTTCTGCTATAGTTTTTTCAAAAAATGCTACAGTATTCTCGTGTGCTACAGTAACATTTAAAAAAAAATCCGCATCATCCCGTTTCCTGTTTATTACATTAATAATGACACAACAAAAATTACTATAGTATTTACTGTAGAATGAATAGTGAAACTTGGGTTCTCCCATTTGTATAGAGGAGTAGATGAGTCCATATTAACGAAAAACAACACTGCTAATATCTACAAAATATCTAATATTTGATAATTAATATTATTTAATCATTTTTATATTTAACACTTTAGTTTATTCAATATAATGTATTCAGTTATAATATTAAATAAATTTATTATTTAGCATATCTTAAATATATAAGATTAAATATTTAATATTATTATATAATGTATATAATTTTTATTTAATATTAGATAATAAATATAGTAAATATGTAATTATTAAATGTAAGCAATATTTAAAAATTAACTACGAAAATATTAAGTTGTAAATGGATTACATATTTATTTGTAGTTATTTAATGTATTTCATATTAAATATATATATGTAATTTTAAATATATCTTATTTGACTTCTTTAAATATATCTAAAAAAAATCTAAAACTTAAATTTATTTAATATTTACTATATTTAATATTTTATATCATTTAATCATTTTCATCCTTAATTATTAATTTATACAGTAAATAGTCTAATAATATTTGATATAAATATTAATTATAAATTATCATATTTTAAATATATAAATAGGTTCATTAAATATTAAATATACTTGATACTTATCCCAATTTATATTTAATATTTATTTAATTATTAGATAAGAAATGTAGAAGATACTTAATACTAAGTATATTTGATATAATTATTAATTATAAATGATCATATTTTAAATATAGAAATAATTTATTAAATATTAAATATACTTAATAGTTATCTCAATTTATATCTAATATTTATTTAAACATTAGATAAGAAATATACCAAATACTTAATATTAAGTGTCATTAATATTTCATATATTAAATAATAAATATTAAATATTAAGTAATTTGATATTTATATTGAATGTTTGACATAATGATGTTTATATATATAAATATAAAGATTAGTAGTAAAAATTTGATTTATAATTGTAATTATATAAAATTACAATAAAATTTATTATATAAAGTTACAATAAAATATATTAATAATTATAAAAACTATGAATTAAATAATAATTATATTTTTGATAAAAATATTGTTACATTTTTAGTAGTTATTTAAAACTCAGTCCAAGAATCCATTCAAGAGTTTAAAAATCCCTCCAAAAAGTCTAGAGCTCTAACCAAAATATTCTAACCCTAATCTGAATCTCAGAATATAGGATTATGGGACAAATAATTCTAGTCTTTCTAAACAATCCTGAATAAATAAAACCCTCTATATGATTTTCTACTAGGATTTTAATATATGTGCCTTTTCTTTTAAGATAGTTCAAAGGGGAAATTGCTTCTAGCCACCAATTTCCATACGAGTATTCCGCCCTCACCCAAGACTTTTTCAACGCTCCCAAAACCCCTAAAAGTAAAGCGATAATTCCCTGAGCCCCCAAAACACAAAACCCAAGTGATTAAAATATGTGAAGACTATAATACCCTTTCTCTCTCTCTCTCTCATGATGTTATTGCGATGATTTAAAATGGGTTTGGGGGGGGGGGATTCTAGTTCCCTCCAAAATTTTCTAACTGCGTCAACATCGGCAGTAATACTTTTTCGGCGTTTGTTCATGAGGCGAAGAAAAAGTCTTGGGGAAACTAGAATTTTTTGGCGGAATACTTATAAGGAAACGACGGGAAAGTTTCACCGGCGGGAAGAAAACGACGTTCATTCATTGGCGGAATACTTGTAAGGAAATCGATGACTTGAGATTAAAATAGAGTATGTAAATTTATATATTATTGTTATTTCATGATAATAAGTTTGTTGTTAAGCTTATGAGTTGATGGTGAAGGAATGTTACATGTTGGTTTTAAAGGTTACGAGTTGATTGTGAAGGATACGCGTTGGTTGTGAATGTGTTACGGGTTGGTTGTGAAGGTTACGTGTTAGTTGTGAATGTTACGAGTTGGTTGTGAAGGTTACAGGTTGGTTGTGAAGATTACGGGTTTATTGTAAATGTTACGGGTTGGTTGTGAACCTCAGTAACATTCACAACCAACCCGTAACTTAACCAACCCGTAACCTTAACAACCAATCCGTAACCGTCACAACTAACACGTAACCTTAACAACCAACCCGTAACCTTAACAACCAACGCGTAACCTTCACAACCAACATGTATCCTTCACAACCAACCTGTAACACCTTCGCAACCAACGCGTATCCTTCACAACCAATCTGTAACCTTCAAAACCAACATGTAACCCCCAAGAAAATCTCTTTTCTCTCTTCTTATTCTTCTTCTTTACAATTTTCACGAAAAAAATGAAGCAACAAAACTGCTGCTCATCATCATCTCCTCCCCTCTCCTTCCCCTCCCTCTCCTCCCTCTCCTCCTTCCTAAAATCCCGCATCCCCTCCGACTCCCTCTCCTAATGGGACCTTACCATGGACACCAAAACCCTAAACAACCTCTACCTCGAGATCACCAACGGCGAATCCTCTCTCCTCGCCTCCCCTTGCCTCACCCGCATTGTCAACGTGGCCATCCTCCGCATTAAGAACCCCCGCGGCTCCACTCTCCTGGAATCCCAGCAACTCCTCTCCGACGGAACCCTAAGGAGCAGGAACCGCCTTTGTCCGAGAAGATGATGCCGGGGGAGCCCGTTGAGGATGCGGCGGCCCACGCGGAGAGAGAGAGAGAGAGAGAGAGAGAGAGAGAGAGGATATTATGGTCTTCATATATTTTAATCACTTGAGTTTTGTGTTTTGGGATCTCAGGAAATTATTGTTTTACTTTTGAGGGTTTGAGAGCGTTGAAAAAGTCTTAGGTGGGGGCGGAATACCCGTATGGAAATTGGGGGCTAGAAGCATGCTAGTTCAAATCAAATGCAGACAAAACTCAGAAAAAGAATCTTACAAACAGCTCCCCATGTAAAATCATGTCCCGAAGGAGATCACGACGTGCGTTTACTGTTAATTTTAAATCAATACAACTGGAAAAAGAATCTATAACTAGCTCCTCAACCTTAAGTCTTAAGTTTCCCACAGCGAACCACATAACTGTGTGCCACACGCAGGCATACACGCGCGTATCGATATGGCGATTCCAAGCGTCACACTCAACTCCAGCCACAAAATGCCGGTTATTGCCCTCGGATCTGCCGGCCAGAACCTGCCGGCTGACGTACTGTCGCGGATCTTCCTCGATGCCATCGAAGCTGGTTACAGGCACTTCGACACTGCATCCCTCTATGGGTCTGAGGAAGGCATCGGCCTGGCGGTAGCTGAGGCCTTGAAGCTCGGCCTTGTCAGCTCCCGGGATGAACTTTTCATCACGTCCAAGCTCTGGGTCACTGATGCTCACCCTGATCTTGTTCTCCCCGCTCTCAAGAACTCACTCAGGTAAGCTTCACCACAACTTCGGATGTTGGATCCGGTCGTAAAATCATCTTTTTTTTGGTATGACACTATTACTTATATCGGAATAGACGACTGTCTTTGAGTGACGAAATACTTCATTAAAAAAATCTAGATTAATTAGTTTTTTTTTCCTTTTCTACTTCTTACACTAATCTCCTTCCGCATTACTTCTTCCTCTTTTCTGCATTTTCCTTGTTGTATATATTTTTTTCTAGATTATTATTTACATGACCAAAATTTTTGCGGAGTTATGATTTAGTCGCCCGTGGCTACGAAAATGCCGATAATGAAATGTAAATTTCTGGTTTATGCTCGTCCCTCCATTAGCATGTGTAGACTCTGGTTGCATAAGAAATTTCTTTATGATAACTGATCCTATTTTTATCCCATTTGTCTTAAGTAAAATTTTTGTAACGCAGCAAATTGGGACTAGATTACTTGGACCTGTACTTAATCCACTGGCCCATTAGATTGAAGCAAGGAGATAAGAAGGTTCCTGTTGATAAAAAGGATATTCTTCCCTTTTTTGATATGAAGGGAACATGGGAAGCAATGGAGGAATGCAAGAGACTTGGACTTGTTAACTCCATTGGAGTTAGCAACTGTACATGCAAGAAGTTGTCTCAACTCATGGAGTACGCTACCATACCTCCAGCAGTGAATCAGGTATAGGGTTAATTGCATATACACACTTTATAGTGTGGGGTCTTTGTGATTAGTTACTCACATGTTAATAAAATTATAGCTCTCAACCCTCATCAAAGTTTTAGAGGTTTTACGTGATGGCTGAGATTTTTTTTCCATGATATAAATTAATCCAAGTTCGAATCCTGCAGGCAAGGAATTTAAAATAGAATTAGAAATAGATACATGTCAATCTAGGTTTCACTCCTCAAAAAGAATGCTAACCTGCCAGGTATAAAATTGTAAGTCTTGATATAGTGGCATGGACTTTGACAATTCGTAAGTATTTTTATTTCCATTTATACGTTTTGATGTTAAACATAGTTGCCTCTTCATTATTTATATATGTACTATAAGAGAAAATTTCCGAAAAGAAAAACCAATTGCCGTTACTTTTTATGTAAAGGTCAAACTAAAGGATTTTTCATAATAGGACTAAATTGGAGAAACTAATGATTTATATAGGATGTATTTTATAATATAAAGTTTTGGGAAATTAATTGAAGAATAGATGAAATTTGGGGGACTTATATATCAAAAACTCTGACTTATAAAGGGTTGGTTATGAAGTGACAACTCATTCTGCAAAATGAGATACCAAGAAATAGAATAGTTGAGACCCATACCTTCTGATATACCTTTTGATGTCACAAGTAGGGTGGATCTCACTATATGGTTATCTCTTGGTTGATAGGTCTATCCAAATAGCCCGACCTAGATTTTCGAGTCCAGACCAAGTAAAAAACCCCACCTGAACATGGGCCTGGGGTCCTAAGCTGAGTCCAGGTTTGAGTTAGGGTGGGGGCCATATTTTTTTAAATTGTTTTTTTATTTTTTGTAAAAAAATTTATATTTTTTTGTTAAAAAATTGACAACTTCAGAAGTGATTAAAAAGATGCGAAATTTTAATAAAGAAATTCAATCTTATTATTAATCACTTATATAATTATACAATTTGTAAAATTTATAGAAATTAAAATGATCAAAATTAAATTCTTTATTATTAATCACTAAGTATTATAATATATTTTGAAAAATTATCACATCATAATAAATGAGTATATCCTAACTTGGTTGACACATATCTATCTATATCACTATCATTTACAGCTCTTTCCATTTAAAAATTTAAAAACTAAAAATTCCAAATAATTCTCTACTTTTTATCTCCTATCATCAGCTCATTCAGTCTATCTTCAATATCAGCTATCCGGTGAATACCTAGAGTTCTCTTCCTATACCTCCACCAATCTTGTAAGTATATTGTCGTAGTATAGTATCTAGATAAAACTTGTGGTGTTCTGTGGTCGTCGATCAACCGTCTTGATGTGTTGAAGACGGATTCTGAAGCTACGATGAAAACCTGGACTATTAGTAAATCATTAGTCATGATAGAAACCACATGATATGAAACCACTCTATATACTTTCCACAATTGCAAAATATCGAACTCCTCATTATTCTAAGTTTTAACTAAAGGTGCAGCTAAATATTGTTTAATTTTAGAAACTTTCCTTGATGATGATCCTTATCCACAACTAGTATCCATACCAATTAACCTCTCTATCATCGATTGCCCATAAAAACCCTTATCTTTGCTCTATCTAGAGCTTGTAGAATCTATAGGCTGAGATGATACACTATGTCTAGCTGCATACTCTTCAAATAATCTTTAAAAGTAATATTTAATAGTATTATGATGACTAAGAGCAATATATATAGACTGACTGCTATCACTTTTTGTTATTATGTTATCATACAAAGAATTCAACAAAGTTTGAAGACCAATATCTTTCAAGCATGAATCAATTAGATACTTCAAACCAAAAATAATAAAATAGGTCTAAAATACTTATTAAATTTGATTTTCATTTCAAAATTATGTTTGAAAAATAATCATACATGTGATAAGTATTAAAGAAAGTTTGAATATTTAAAACTTGTAAAGTAGTTGAGTAATAGTTGGATAATAAAAACCAAATGATGTCATAGCAAAATTAAAAAAAATTATAGCATCTCTTTTATATAACTTATAATTATCCATTCATCATCAGTTATTCCATACATATTACTAGAACTAGAGCAAAGTTAGAACTAGAAGCATAGAAAGTAATAAAATTATTTATAATTTCTTTATACTTTATTGCTAAATTTAACATTGCATAGAAAGAATTCTACCTATGGTAAACTTCTTTTAGAATTAACTTAGATTTTAATCTTTTCTTATACATAATTGTTTACATTTCTTAAGCCTTTGTTCAGAAGCATTGTTGTTTGGGGAGAAAGTTGATGTATTCATTACGGTGTTCATTACTACTTCAGTCGTTACAAATGACAACAAAAAAATAGTCTTTTTATAAAACTCTTACATAATGAAAACAAAAAAAATACAACTCTCGTCTAAACAAACACAACGGACGTTTATCCTCCGCTGCTTGTGTGGGATCTTGGCCTGTAACAGGGATGTTAATATCCATGGACTACCAAACGATCAGATCAGATCCGGAGCTTCATTGATTCGCGAAGGAATCAAGAAGCCGAAGCAATTATCTCAGCAACGGCGAGATAATTACTCTTCTCGAGATCACCGCAACGGGGCAATCTCAAGGGAAGGAACTGGGAACTGTAGATCTAACGAGCTCCTATTCTTTATGCTGACGAACTCGATCCAATCTCCTCCTCTCTTCTAAAATTCGTGCTCCTTCAGTCTTCAATCCAGCAGGGCTTCGCCAACGCTCGAAAATTCCAGATCTGAAAAAAATAAAGGCTATGGGGTTGTATTTATAGGCTTCGTGAGCTCTGTTTTCGGATAAGAATGGTTGATTCACTCTTATCCTCAGTTGTAACCACTTAACCATGTTCTTGGATGATATTTTATCAGTTGGAACAAATCTAGGTGGTTAACGGTCGAAAAACGTCTCAAAACAGTCAAAAACTGATTTTCTGGGCTGCGGACACCCGTGGGTGTCTCGGTCTACTTTGGCCGAGACAGCATTTGGTGTCTTGGACAAGCATTAGCCGAGACACCATTTGGTGTCTTGGCTAAACTTTGGCCTGGACCAGGTTTCATGCGTCCCGTTCGTTTCCATCGTATCTTCATCGTCCGAACTCGGAATTACGTGGTTCAAGATGCGTCAGAAAGCTAACGTGGAGACCAATAAGCTCTTATGATTGAATCGCATGTGAAGTAGATAAGACACGAGGGGTACTTCGTCTTTCGTAAGTGACGCGGAGCTCCCGGTCCATTCGTGTTTCCGTTATTCTGAAGTTCTGTTGCTTCGCATGGTTCATCGACTCACTTTCATACGCTTGTCGTCGTCAAATAAGCTTCTATGACTCAGATAGTAACGTTCATCATCTTCTCTCTGTCTCGAGCTATGTGCAGGGACCTATAGGTAATTTTTAACGCCTATAGATACCCCCTCCAAAGTATATTAGTCTCGTTTCTTTTATAGAGGAGCCTGAAATAATTTAGATGTGATCGGTCCAACCTTCAGTCAGTGTAAGAGGACCTATAGTTAGCTTTGACTCTTGACTCCTTCGATTTTCAGTCTATTCAATATGAATAGCTAAAATTCTTCTGGCGCTGCATTTATCGCCTGTCCATCGTCGAAGTCTCGAATCAAAAACTGGTGAGTTAATTTTGGCTCATGTCATCGAGTTGACTCAGAACTGACTATCTCTGAACAGTGTTGACTTTAGGGTTTCGGATCGCCCGGCGTTGACTTTTTATCGCAACGTGTTGATTGAGGTTGACCTAGGGTTACGCGTTGACCGGCGTTGACCTTAGGGTTTCGGATCGCCCGGTGTTAACTTTTCATCGCAACGTGTTGATTATCATTGACCTATGGTTACGTGTTGACCGGCATTGACCTTAGGGTTTCAGATCGATCGGTGTTGACTTTCATCGCAACACGTTGACTGGCGTTGATCTAGGGCTACGCGTTGACCGACGTTGACCTTAGGGTTTCGTATCGATCACTGTTAACATAGTTTATACTTGTACGTTTGGTAGAGTATACATAGTTTGAGCTCTTAAGGTATTGGAGCATGACGGTCTCAAATGTCGAGGCTACAGGACCAACTATTAAAGATGATTCATTTGCATGTATGGATCTTATCCTGAGGTTGTTGGATGCTCAAGTCATGAGACTAACTAATGAAGTTGATACGTCAATGACTCTTGTATTTATAGGATTTTTGGCAAATCCTCAACCATTAATGGGTTTGATTAGCCTTTACCGACTACCGTTTGAGTCGGGCTAGCGCGTAGATTGCTTAAGTCTGTTCTACACGTAACGTTGTGCTAAAAGAGTTAACTCTTTTAGTACTACAATATTGAATACGTAGATTTCATCTTTCTTACGAGAATAGACTACCCGACGCTGTATATTAGATGTAGACTTAGGATTTTTGGCCAACCCTTTTGCCATCAACGGATTTGACATACCTTTACCGACTACCGTTTGAGTCAGGCTAGCATGTGAATTATTAAAACCCATTTCACATGCGACGTTGTGCTAAGAGAGCTAATTCTCTTAGACTTGGTGCTATAATTTTAAATACATAGACTTTGTCTTTATCACGGGAATAGACTATCCGATAACGCATGTTAGGCGTTGACTCATCCTTACTTAGGATTCAGGATAAAGGTCCCCAGACTTATATTTTGGTGTCTTTTTCATTCGGTGAAAGACTAAACCGACAACGCGTGTTAGGCGTTAGCTTATCTCTACTTAGGATTTAGGATAAAACTCTCCGCGCGTGTGCGGCACGGATTATGATGTTATTAATAACAACCTGCCGTAATGTCGAATATATGAACTTTTATCCTTTTTAAGGTTAAGGACTAACCGGCAACGCGTGTTAGGCACTGACTTATCCCTACTTAGGCTTCGGGATAAAATTCTGCAGACTTGGATTATGGTGTCTTCTTCAATCGGTGAAAGACTAAACCGACAACGCATGTTAGGCATTGACTT